GAGAGAGAGAGAGAGAGAGAGAGAGAGAGAGAGAGAGAGAGAGAGAGAGAGAGAGAAAGAGAGAAATACAGGAAAACCGTCGCGGTTGCTACGGTCTTTTTCGGTACGGCGTAAAAAAATTCGTTCTTTATGCAACGGGTTTCCGGATTCAGCTCGGCTGGTTAGTCGCGCGCGACACCAACGCGCGCGTAGGGATAAATCTTAAATTTTAATTCGAGAACACACACAGCTCGTAGCCGATTTAAATCGCGGATAAAATTCATATGAAATCTTCCGCGCGATTTCCCACGGGACGGCGAGGAGGACCGGTCTCGGATATAGGAATCGATTTCGAGGTGCGAGCAAAGCCTCGAGATTATTGCGCGGTCCGCCGATAATAATCTGCCGCTACGGAGAAATCAATTTCACGTCTCGGAGCGTCCGCGAGCTTCTGTTCCAACTTGTGGCAAATGCTCGAGCGATCGCGGAAATGAGGACACCCTGTACACAACGAGGCGATAACAGTTCGCGAGAGTTGTAGAGGGAGCGAAGTTAGGAAGCTCCGGCCGGGAAACGCAGAGAGAGGCTGATATACGCGAGGGTGTGAGTCAAACAAGCTGGCTGAGGAGAGGAGAGGAGAGGAGAGGACAGTGACGGGCGAGACGAGTAGGGTTGGGGTCCGGTGTGTCGAAGACGCGGATGTAACGGCGAAGGTAGAGAACGACGAAGAAAGAGGCGCGGCGGATGGTAACAAATACATATCAATGCCGGGCGAAATTGCGACAGAGTCATCTTTCTTCGTAAAGCAATTCGCCTAAGTATATTGGAAAAATTATTTTTATACTTGGAATTGAAATATTTGCTACATACACTGAAGAAAAAAGTGGTTAGATCGACAAAGTCGACGGTCGAAGAAATATTGTGTCTATTAAATGAATTACACATTAGTGCAATAATACGTTGCGTTGCGTTGACATAGTGACCAAATCGCAATCATTGTATCAATTAATAATTCTCTCTCTCTCTCTCTCTCTCTCTCTATTCTACTTTGCTCTACTCTTGTCGCAGCAACAATATAATTCGTTCAATCGATCAAACATTTGCTCGAACGAACTTTGTTCGTTCAAGCAAAGTGACTCATTAAAAGTGACTCCATCACTTTTTTCTCAGCGTACGATTTAGTTGGCATTATCGTGATCTTCGCTCGTGTCACGTGGGATGTATTAGAGAGAAAGCAAAACACACATAATAACGGCGATAAATCTCTCAATTATCAAACATTCTACTTTGATCCTACTTTAATCAAATTTTTATCCGATGTACGAAATTTTCGTCTCGACGATAAAATTCTTTTTTCACTGTAAGTTCCGTCTGAAATATAGACGCATCCGCCGCAGTGGATCGACGGAGACATCGCGACTAGTTTGCAATTCATAACGGAGTCACGCGCGCGAGAGAGATACGTGTGTGCGGCAGATAAAATAAATTTCACGGATTTCTCATTTCACGAAACTTTCTCTCTCGCTTATCGCGCCTATGAGCGACGCGCTGAGACTCTTGGATACTCGCCGCACAATTGTAGATTGATGATGTTAGAAGCGAGAAAACGCATGTCCAAAATTCTTGCCATTTTCACAAATAAAAAGATGTCTGTATGAAAAAATGCTTCTGATCGCATGAGCATACTTATACAATGCTCCGAAAACTATCCTTTTCCCTCACGGAGAGAAGAGTTTGTTCAGATTAACCAAATTTCTGATGAAATATGAACGAACCAGAAATTCTGGTCGAAGCTATCAGAATTTTGTTCGAGTTAATAAGATTTCTGGCTTGACAGTCAGTAAAAATAGTCGTAAAATTAACGACACGCAACCTCCTTCCCTAATCTACCTTTTCTCGTGATTTTGCCACGTTTATTTTATTTGATTCGTCTTGCGGCTGTTTATTGACTGTTAAGGGAACGGAATAGTTTCCGAGACATTTCACTGGTATGCTCAAGCAATTTCAAATGTTCTTTCATACAAATATCTTTTGATTTGGAAATAGCACGCAAACATGTTTTATAAATATATAAAAATTCTTACTTCTCAACATAACGTTCTCTTGATTTAAGATAAATTCTTTCATTCAAATCTCAACAAACATCACATTCTGTACTGTCATCTCGGCTCCTATCGTAACCGATCGCTGAGCATACTTTCAACCCCGACAACTCGAAGCAACTTCATTCAGTGGAGAGTGTGCGAATCGATTTGCAACCGACTATATGTGCTAGAATCACTCTTTAACTTCAAGTGGAGAATTCACTCTACATGAATGAAAAATCACTCGAGCTCGAGTGATTCGACAGTCACTCTACTCTTCGAGCGAAACTTCGCTGTAAGAAATTTGGAGAGCGATGACGACAAATTAGGGCGTTTTCTCGCGCATGCACCGCTGTCGAAACGCGACAGGCTCCTACACCGGGATTGCTGTCGAGATATACTACTCGACAAGAGAAAAAAAAGCGCAGGAAGCCTCG